TGCTGTTGTTGCTTTAGTTTTTCTTCAGACTCTCTTAGGCCAGTTACATCATTAGAGTTAAGATCTGTGTACTTGTCCTCCAAAGCTTGTACATATGCTTCATATTGTTTCCATCTTAGAATTAACTCATCTCTTGCCATAATTTTTAAGTCTGTTTCACTCAGTCGAACCTTTTTGGGAAGAGGTTCTTCGCTGGTCATCTTGAATCCGAAGAGTCGCCTTTCAGGCGTGGCCGTGGTCACTTGCCCGCCGCCGGGCCCTGCCAGTAGAGGAAAAGTGAGGGGAAGGTGGCCGCTGGCCTAGCCCGATCGCGGCCTCGAGGCGCAGTGGAGCAGCTGCTCCCCGGTAACATACGCCGTCTTTTCCCAGGAGCCTGGCGCCAGCCCCCGCGGCTGCGGGAGCTCAGCGAACGCGGTGGGGGCGGGAAGGGAAGTGGCTGTGCCTGGTTTCTTTTGCTCAGCACAATCTTAAGATTTATCAGTGTTGCTGCATGCATTAGTAGCTTCTTCTTCGTACTGATGTATTCCATTATACAGTAATATAACTGTTTATATGTTTTTCTGTTGATATTCTAATTATTTACAATTTGGGGTTGAGTAAAGATTCTATGAATGTTTGCATATAATTCTTTGTGTTTTTCTGGGGTAAATGCCTCGAATGAAAATTGCTGGTTGTAGGTAAGGTATTGTTATCTTTACAAGAAGCTATGAAATGGACGTGTACTGCTGTCACATGAACATGCACTTTCTTGCTGACCAAAGCTTTGGACATTATTTCTAGTATTTATTGACCAACTATATATCTTTAGTGAAATATCTATTTTAACATTTTCCCATTTTAGTCCATTATAACTGCATTGTCTGTATTATAAACATTCTTTATTTTTCCTTTAAGAGACAGAGTTTTGCTCAGTTGCCTGGGCTGGAGTACAGTGGCATGATCATAGCTCACCACAGCCTCAAAGTCCTGGGCACAAGCAATCCTCCCACCTCAGCCTCCCAAGAAGCTAGGACTAGGAGTATAGGCATGTGCCACTCGGCTTCATTATTTTTTGTAGAGATGAGGTCTCATTATATTGTCCAGGATGGCCTTGAACTCCTGGCTTCAAACAATCCTCCTGCTTTGGCCTCCTGAGGTGCTAGGATTACACAGGTGAGCCACTGTATGCCGTCAGTTTCTTTTGTTTTCTAACATAAATTTTGAACTTTAGGTGATTTTGTTTGGATCTGTGATTTATTTTGAATAAGTCTTAAATTATGGTGTAAAGATCAAGTTGCATTTACAATATATATCATTACTGATACAGTTTGGCTGTCTCCACCAAAATCCCATCTTGAATTGTAATCCCTAAATCCCCACATGTCAAGGGTGGGACCAGCTGGAGGTAACTGGATCATGGGGGGCAGTTTTCCCCATGCTGTTCTTGTGACAGTGAGTGAATCTCAACAGAGCTGATGGTTTTATGGCATCTGGCATTTCCCCTGCGTGCACTCATTCCATCCCACTGCCCTGCAAAAAAAGTGCCTGCTTCTCCTTTGCCTTGTGCGGACTATAAATCTGACGCCTCCTCAGCCAAGCAGAACTGTGAGTCAATTAAATCTCTTTACAAATTACTCAGTCTCGGGTATTCCTTCATACCAGTGTGAGAATGGTCTAATGCAATTATCATAGCATCATTTTTGAAAATAATAATAATTTCCCCATCAAATTACCCTGGAACATTTGTCAAAAAACAACTGATGATGTTCAGTTATAACTCAGAGAAATATAGAGCAGGAAAGAGCACTGCTTCCATCCATAAACCAAGAAGACAGCTGGGAAGACTTTAATTTTTCTTCAATGCACCCGGTATCTGAGGTCACAGAGCAAAAAAAACTATCTTGAAAACTAGGTGGTTGTAGAGAGAAATGAAGATCCAAGCAGTTGTTTAACTGAGAGAGAATGCCAACTGCCATATAAAGTGACTCCAGTGGGAAAACCAGACAACATGCCTTATCAGATAACTGTGGCAAAGAGGTCAAAACTATAATAAAATTTAAATGCTAAAAATGAAAAACAAAGCACCATGAATGAAGAATGCCTCCCAAGGGTCCATTACTACACTCAACACTGCTAGGAAAGAATCAGTGATATAAGTTATATATATATAATTTCCTTATATGTGATTATATATATAATTTCCTTATATATGATTATATATATATATAATTTCCTTATATATTTGTGTGTGAGACACACACACACACACACAGAGAGAGAAGAAAGAAAGAAATGTATTGGTGACACTGACACTGGCTTCTTTGAAAAGAGGCAGTTTAGTAACAGTGGGCTTTACTAGAGAGACACATCAGAAGGCAGCAGGAGACGGGAATGTGGTATCAGTAAAAACCCTTCTGTACAAGGTTTGTTATTAATACTCGTGGCAAATTGTGGCTGACGTCAGAGTAGTTATAAAGCAAGAAGAACACAATTCTCCTACAGTGATGTTGAGTTCTAAGACACATAAAACAAATGCCTGGTAAGTAGCATGCACATATACGAACATAAAAAATCAATAATTCACAAAATATTCACCTATTTGTGACGCTGCTTTTCAGTTTCTGCAGTTTATTTCTTGTTCGTTTTAGGCTTTTTATGATAGTGAATGCCTACCAATATGTTACATCATTAAAGGTTTTGATACTATATATGAAACAACAGTTCTCATATAGCAATATCTAGATAAAGGCTTTACTTACCTTTCTCAAACTGATAGATTTTCCCCTTGTAACAAGCTCTGATATAAAATATGATAATTTTTGAAAACTTTTACACATTCAAAACTAAATTATCAGATATTTAATAGGATTTTGGGTATGTATGTGCAACTGTGTGTGTGTGTGTGTGTGTGTGAAGAATTTCCTTCATTTGTTAAAATGTCAGATTTTTTCTGATATTACCTGACTGATGTGTAAGACTTGGAGATAGAAGCTATGGTCATTCAGGATGCTGTTGGAGGTTTGTTCTATGTGACTTTTCTGACATACACTGAGTTCAGACATCCTGAAAAATCATACTCATATGTTTTATTATGTGAGTATTGTTGAGTTTCTGTCAGTATCAAGTATACCGAGACCTTTAGAAGCTCAGGAGGGAACAAATTTATTTTCTCACTGCAAAAAGTCCATCCGTGTACATTGAGGAGAAAACTCCATGCCACAGGGTCCTTCTCTGACCTTGATTCCTACAATCGTGTTTTCCATCGTCAGAGTCTGAGTCCCAAGGTTTTCCTCCATTTCATTCTAATGAGGGACAGAAGAAAATATTGACAATTTGACTGATATATTTAAGACCTGTCTGCAATTGACCCCAATATTCCATTAGCTAGAGGGTAACAATATGACCCCATTTAGATGATAGTGTGATTGAGCATTTAGGCCAGGTGCGGCATGAGGGAGAAGTGAAAATGATTACTAGTAAACATTTCAATAGTTATTATATAGGGATTACCTCTGTGTAAGTTAAAATGAGGGTTGACATGGCAGAAGAATTTCCCACATCCATTATCTTCATTTCTTGCTTAATATACGATGAGGTCTCTATCCTGTATGTATTTTCTACTGTACTGACTTCTGGCTAAAGTTTATCACACATTTATTATATTCTAGCTTTTCTCATTGTGTGACTTTGATTATGAATGAGTTTTGATCGCTGGCACAAAGTTTTCACATTTTTATTACTTTCTCAGAGCTTTTCTGCAGCATGAGTTTTCTGAGGAATGAGTTCACAAAAGTATTTTCCATATTCATTATCTTTATAGGGTTTCTTTGCTGCCTGAGCTCTCTAATATCCATGGAAGATTGCACTCTGGCTGAAAGAATTTCCATGTAAAATACATTTCTTTTTTTTTTTTTTATCTTCTTTTTTTTTTTTATTGGATTTTAGGTTTTGGGGTACATGAGCAGAGCATGCAAGACAGTTGCGTAGGTACACACATGACAGTGTGCTTTGCTTTTCTTCTCCCCTTCACCCACATTTGGCATTTCTCCCCAGGCTATCCCTCCCCACCTCCCCCTCCCACTGGCCCTCCCCTTTTCCCCCCAATAGACCCCAGTGTTTAGTACTCCCCTTTCTGTGTCCATGTGTTCTCATTTTTCATCACCCGCCTATGAGTGAGAATATGCGGTGTTTCATTTTCTGTTCTTGCGTCAGTTTGCTGAGGATGATGTTCTCCAGATTCATCCATGTCCCTACAAACGACACAAACTCATCATTTCTGATTGCTACATAATATTCCATGGTGTATATGTGCCACATTTTTCCAATCCAGTCTATTATCAATGGGCATTTGGGTTGATTCCAGGTCTTTGCTATTGTAAACAGTGCTGCAATGAACATTCGTGTACATGTGTCCTTATAGTAGAACGATTTATAGTCTTTTGGATATATACCCAGTAATGGGATTGCTGGGTCAAATGGAATTTCTATTTCTAAGGCCTTGAGGAATCGCCACACTGTCTTCCACAATGGTTGCATTTCAACAATTTATCTCCTAAGTTCTTTGATGTTCGGTGGAGGCTGAAATTGTAGAGGAAACTGCAATGCTCACTACATTAACAGTTCTCTCCTGTGGTTCATTTATGTATTGTGAGGTTTGATTTCCTGCTCAGAGTTTTTTCATATTCTTTATATGCACATGTTTAATCCCCTGAGTGGGCTTTCTGATGCTCTCTAAGGCTTGATTTTTGATGGAAAGTTTTCCCACATTTATCACATTTATAGGGTTTCTCCCCTGTGTGAGTTCTCTGATGTACTCTCAGATTTGATTTTTGACTGAAAGCTTCCGCACACTGATTACAATTAAATGGTTTCTCCCCAGTGTGAGTTCGCTGATGTTTTCTTAGGACTGACTTCTCACTGAAAGCTTTTCCACATTCATTACATTCATACGGCTTCTCCCCAGTGTGAGTTCTCTGATGCCTCTGAGATTTGATTTCTGCCTGGAAGTTTTTCCACATTCCTCACATTTATAAGGTTTCTCCTCAGTATGAGTTCTGTGATGGACTCTGAGGTTTGATTTTTGACTGAAAGCTTCCCCACAATGATTACATTTATAGGGTTTTTCCCCTGTGTGAATTCTATGATGTCCTCTGAGTTGTGATTTCTGACCAAAAGCTTTTCCACACTGATTACATTTGTAGGGCTTCTCCCCTGTGTGTGTTCTATGATGTTTTCTTAGGCCTGATTTCAGTTTGAATGCTTTCCCACATTCATCACATTTATATGGTCTTTCCCCTGTGTGAGTTCTTCAACAATTCCTTAGGCCTGACATACGGCTGAAAGATTTCCCACATTCACTACATTCAAAAGGTTTCTCCCCTGTGTGAGTTCTCTGATGTACTATGAGGATTGACTTATAGTTAAAAGACTTCCCACATTCATTACATTCAAATGGTTTCTCTCCTATGTGGGTTCTCTGGTGTATTCTTAGGCCTGACTTTGCACTGAAAGTTTTTTCACATCCATCACATTTATATGGTTTCTCACCCGTGTGAGTTCTCTGATGTTTTCTTAGGCATGACTTCTCACTGAAGGCTTTCCTGCATTCATGACATTCATAGGGTTTCTCCCCTGTGTGACTTTTCTGAGGCCAAATCAAGTGTGAATTCATAGAGCAGGATTTTCCACATTCATTACACTCATAGGGTTTTGCCCTTATGTGAGCTTTCTGATATATACTGAAAGTTGACTGGTAGCTGAATGTCTCTGTACATGTGTTATAATCAGATGATTTATCTGTTGCATGAGTTCTCTGATGCACTGGGAGGGCTGAATTATGGTTGAAACTTTTTCCATATTCAAAGGGTTTCATCCCTATATGAATTCTATGATGTTCTCTAATGTGTGACTTTGGGCTGAAATATTTCCCTTCTGTATCAGTTTTGAGAGTGATCCTACAGAAATGATTTCCAGTATCTTTAAACTCATAGTGACTCTTCTCTTGATGAATGTTCTGAGGAATAATAAAGGTTGATTTTTTCAATTTCTGTTTTCCCCAAATTTATTGAAGTCGAAAGATTTTTCTTTATGGTGGGTACTATTAGATGTAACAAGGGAAGCCGTTTCAAGAAAAGCTTTTCTACTTTCATTATATTCAAAATCCTTCCCCAAAGTCTGAATTATCTGATGTTGAATAACTTTCTCCTTATGACTGAGGGTTTTCACAATTTTACTGTAAGCGAAGATTTCTCTTGAGTGTTAGTTCTGCCATCCTTAATATTGATGAGACATTTGTCACATACGTTATGCTCATAAGCCTTTTCTTTTGAATATTGACAGTGTGGGGCCAATGGGCTCAGACCCTGGTAAGCAGACCCTGCAGTGTCACATTTAAAAGGCATCATTCTGGCAGGAAAAATGTTTATGTCCTGATTATGTGGTTTTCCTGAAATTTCTTACTCTGTAGTCAATAATTTATTGGTGAATAAAACTTGTCACAAATGTTTGCCTTGATTTTCTTGACTCTTCTCTGAGATTTCATCAGGTTGGGAGTTTTCTAAAAATGATAAAATTAAACAAACTTTATGATATTTAACACATTTCTTACGGAATGGAATATACATCTATATATGTGCCCTATTATGTATTTGATTCCTTAGTTTCTGGCTCGGTTTCCCAGCAATAAAGTAATTTCAAGTACACATTCCTTATATTCTCTTTTTAGTTTAAAATCTCTTTTTGTAGTAGAAAAAGCAATGGGAAACAAATATACATATGTATTTGGCATCTTAAATAAGAATTTCAAAATTGAAGAGAGAAGAATGAAATGACTAAAAATGGTGTATATGTAAGAGCACTGGATCCTGCAAACAGGCAAATCAGAGAATGGGATGAATAAAAAAAGGATTATCAACACGAAGTAGATAATAACAACAAAAATCAATAGATTCGTGGTTTTATCTGAGACAGGGTTTGCCTTAGGGAGTAACACTAGATTCTTAAAGAAACATAAATTGCAATAGTAGGATAATCATTAGCCTACAATAGTCCATCGGAGCTCCATTTCCATTCTACACATCAACACAAAATCAATTTATAATGGCACCAATTTCCTCACGTTAAAAGAAATAGTACTATAGACCACATTTTAATTCTATCTGTAGTATCATCAAAGGAATGCAAATATGTAAGTGGAAACATAAAATTGATAAAATTGTTGGGAATTAAAGTCATTTTTCTACCTAAATTGGATCTACCGCTCTGCCCTAGCTCTGGTGACTTCGTTTATTATATCAGGGTTGTTCAATACTGAATTCTTTTTGTTTTTTGAGATGAAGTCTCATTCTGGCTCCCAGGCTGGAGTATAGTTGTGTGATCTTGGCTCACTGCAACCTCTGCCTTCTGGACTCAAGCAATTCTCCTGTCTCAGCCTCCTGAGTAGCTGGGATCACAGGCATGTAACACCATGCCCAGCTAATTTTTGTACTTTTAGTAGAGACAGGGCTTTTCCATGTTGGCCAGGTTGGTCTCAAACTCCTGACCTTAGGTGATCTGCCAGTCTCGGGCTCCCAAAATGCTGGGATTACAGGTGTGAGCCACCACACCCAGCCAATAGTGAATCTTTTTAGATCCTCAAATCTTAACTTTTGTCTTTTCAATTTGCTCACTCATTTCCCCCAAACAAGTCTTGTTTTTGTCTAATCCTTAATTCTGCTTTCCATCTACTTTTTAACATTGCTAGTTTTTACTGACTGTGAGAACCTTAAGGATCATATATTTTAACCTGCGCTTAGAAACTTTACAAGTATTCTTTATATTTATTTATCATAAATTTCTTGTATATATTTGACTGCTGTTGTCTTACTGCTACCCACATTCCATGCAAAAATGTCAGCCCTGTGCTAAAAATATTCCAAGGCCTTAAATACACTGCCCTAGTAACCTGAGCGATATTCAGGAAAAGGAGATTTTACACTAACCATAGGCTTATTACATGTTCTAGCTCTCATTGCAATAGCTCACAGTCTTTTCTGCTCTAGTCTTGACAGATGTCATCAGCAAATAGTTTTTTCTATTTTTCTAAAATAATAACAATATTATTTTCAGCAATAATCTTATATTCTTTCCCTGAACCTCTTTGCTTTTTAGCCTTAGATCTATGTAGACTCTGGATGCCCTTCAGGCAATGCTGAGCACTTCCCAAACTACACACACAAAAAAGCCTTCTTGTGTCTTCCCACAAACATAAGGAACATTTATTTAAAATCTGAAAGTAGTTACTGCCTATATTATTCATTTTAACAAGGGATATATGGATAGTACTCATATATCTGACACGATTTTTAAAGCAAGTTACCATGATTCAAATTAGGAAGCATTTTAAAACTTACAGCATCAGCACATTTAAATGGCATTTTCTCTTTCTTGGTTGTATGTAAAATAATAGTTCACTTTTTAATCAAGAGCAAAATTATTTTAAGCAGCTTTGTTCTCTTTTCCAAAATATAAACTTCATTCTGATATACTTTATACTCTGTAATAGAAATGAAGTCAGTGACTCTTAAAAAGCAATGTGCCTCAAAATTACCTCCTCTCTCCTACACAAGTGCTCAGACTCAATGCTAACCTACACCCGATTATTCAAAAGTCTCAGAAATTTGACTTGGGTGTTTGCATTTAGGGATAATGTTTTTTGAATGAATCAATATGAAATACCTCTCCCAAGTGGCTTTGAAGTTAATACACAATATTATTAAAAATACTTATATGTTATATTGCATGGACTCAATATATGGAAGAGCAAAGCAGAGAACCATTCTTTTTAGTGGATTATAATCCAGGTGGGAATGGAGCTCATTCAATAACTGTGTGCTCTCTGGCACAGTGTTTCACTTTGTTTTAATACATCTATGAAAGATTGTACTTTTACAGAAAGAAGAGATAAAGCATACACGAAAGTATTCCAAACTGTACCCTAGAAGAAGGAATTTAAATCAAAACTTTAAATGAGTAATAGTGCTTTCCCCCTTTTTCTAGTTGATATTATCTATTTTAATCAATTATTTTTATTCCAAGAACCACTTTTGGCTTTAAAATTTATACTACTGTAGGCTTATTTTTATTACATCTTAAACTTTCTCACTTTTAAAAACAAGTATAAGACTAAAATCTTTGTCTCTCTCTGTCTCTCGACATGGTTTTCACCATGTTGGCCAGGCTGGTCTCGAACTCCTGACCTCTGGTGATCCACCCGCCTCAGCCTCACAAAGTGCTTGGATTATAAGCATGAGCCACAACACCCGGCCGACTAAAAGTTTTTTCTAAGCACTGCTTTATCTATATCCCAAAGGTTCTAATATGCATGTTGTTTACCTTTGAAATTTTCTGGATATTGGACAATTTTGATTTTCATTTACTCTTTTATTAAATATGTTTTAAAAGATATATATATAGAGAGATATATAGATATATTCCATATTGATTTTAAGATAGAGATACTTTAATTCTTCTCATATTGTTTGCAGTTTGTAGTTTTACTGGACAATAATATTTTTACTTTGTGGAATCTATTAATATTTGCATGAAATATTTTTATATATTGTCAATGTCCCATGGTCATTTAAAGAGGGTTTATTCTTTGTTTCCAGAGTAGAGTTTTGAAAGACACATCAGATTCATTTTTATAAAATGTGTTATTTATAACTTCTAGTGCAGGAGTCAGTAAAATATTTCCATACAGGGCCAGAGAGTAAATGCTTTCCACTGCACTGATCGTGTGGTCTCTGTTGCAACTACTCAATTCTGCCTTGTAACATGAGCACCGAAATGAATAGCTATGGCTGTGTTCTAGATAAATCTTTCCTGACCAAAATAGGCAGCAGGTAGAATCTCACCTTTGTCCTTGTTTGCTGAGCACCAGTCTAGGATCTTAGCTGTGATCCACTGGCTCTGGTATGAAATCAAAGAGGTAAATTAAAGTCTATGCTACCTAATGTGTTTCCATTTTTCCTCAGAACACGCAGTTTTTATTTTATGAAACCTGATAAGTTAGTGCACAAATATTCAAAACTCTCGTCTACTTTAAAAATATCCTTTTAAAACTGTCTACTTTAGCATTATCAGAATGCTGTTTCTCTTCTCTGTTTTTTGACCTGAATTTAACTTTAGTGTTAGTTAGCTATTGAGTTTATAAAAAGAAGAGCTAAAGAATAGGATAAAATATTCCAAGATTATGTTATGTAAGCAAATAAACACAGAATTATTTTAGTTTATTGCCATAGCAATTCATAACCATATTTTGAACTCAACAGATTATTTTTTAAATGTACCTCTTTAACAAAATCGAATAGCATTTTCTCTTAGTAGGTGAATTTATTCCACTTACATTAGTTGGTATGGCAAATATATTTATCTTACTCTATGTTATGCCAGGGATTTGCATAGCTTTTGTGTACACAGGAGGTGATACCGCAGGCCTGAGACAGCTATTCTTAGAAAGGCTTTCTGCAAAGATTTGCCCTTAGCTGGCATCTAGAAACAAGATTCCCATAACTGCTGGGGAGCTCACTATGCTAGTTCTGTACAAATGATAGAGAACAGCAGTTTTCCATCTCAAAATCTGGAATTTTGGTACATGCTAGACAGAGGGTGTTTACATGGTTAGCCCACAACAAAAACCCTGGGCACCAATTCTGGGGAGAAAACATTTCATGTGTGTTTTCAGGATTCATTGCTTGGGGAACTGTGCTTGGGAAACTGTATGAACTCTCAGAAACTTCTTGTTTGTTTCCTATGAACTTTGCCCCATGTACCTTTTAGCTTTGCTGATTTTTCTTTGTATCTTTTCACTGTATAAATTTTAACCATTATTATGACTATATGCTGAATTGTGTGAGTTCTCTTAGTCAATGAATGGTCTGCTCATTGAATTCAATAACTCACCTCAGGAGGTCCTGCTTAGAAATCCTTTCTCTTTCTCTAATAACCATGGATCTTCTCCTTGTTCCAACGTGAAGGTCAGTTCTGGTTTTGTAAAGCAGTATCCTATAATGGGAAAAAATTTTATCAATTGCATTACTTGCATAGGTTCTACTGTTTCTGAATGTGAAAAAGGTACAACTTTTGTCTACATAAAAGCTATGCAAATTCAGCTAGGCATATTAAGGGTGCTCAATGGACCTTCTTTGGGGAAATAACAACAAAAAACATTTTCTTTATTTTCTTACTTTTTCTTTTCTTTTTTAGATACAGGGTCTCTATGTCACTCAGTCTGAAGTGCAGTAGTGTGACCATGGCTCACTGCAGCCTCAAACTTCTGGGGTCAAGTAATCCTCCTGCTTCAGCCTCCTGAGTAGCTGGGACTACAGGTAGGCACCACCATACCTTTTTTTTTTTTTTAAAGACAGAGTCTTACTATTTTACCTAGGCTAGTCTTGAACTCTTGGCCTCAAGCAATCCTCTCACCCTGGTCTCCCAAGTGCGGTGGCATGAGCCACTGCACCTGGCCAAAAAACATTTTCTTATTCTCATAAATGATCAATCTCCTTGAACTCCTAAACTGCAGACCTAAATAACATAAAATTCAAAAATGGCCAATGTATTAGGTGTCAAGGAAGAGATTTCATGAGGACTTCCACATATGGCCATAATAGGGTAAAAGGAACTGATTTACTGCTCCACAACATATCTCTAAAAAGCCATACAAAATATAAAAAATGGTAATTAGGTTTTAGCCAAGAGGCAATGCAGATGGTGAGTCAGGAAGACTGCCTGAGGCTGGGAGTTCAAGACCAGCCTGGGCAACACAAAGAGACTGGAAAATAATAAACAGAGGTATCTGTGACCTGCGGTTAAATAAATGTGTAGTCTAACATATGTGTAATCAGCATTCCTGAAGAAAAAAAGGAAAAGGAGAAAAAGTGTTGAAGAAACACTGGCCAAAATTTTCTCATTTTAGTGATGTGTATAAACTGTCAAATCCAAGAAGCTAAATAAATGCCAAGAAGAAACAAATAAAATCACAGCAAATGTACATTATGATCAAATTGCCAAAAACTGCTGAAAAAAGTAAATTTTATGCAGACAGAAAAAGACATGTGCGGAACAAAAAGAATTAAAACTGACTTCTTGTTAGAAATTTTACAGTCTGGAAGACAATGAAGTGACACTTAAAGTACTGAAAGAAAAAACAAAATCAACCTAAAATTCCATACTTAGCGAAGGTAAGATGTTTCAGATTAAAAAAGAAAAAGCTGAAACAACGTATCAGCAACTGATGTGTATTACAAGAAATTTTAATTTTCCAGATGGAAGAAAAATGATACTATGGAAATTTTTGATTTATATGAAAAGTTTAGTCGGAGCGGAAGCGGCGGCGAGAGGCTAGGAGGAGCTGCGGCGGCCAAACGGCGGGCGAAGAGGGCGGGCAACGGGGGCCGCGGCCCGGTCGGAGCCACTGCCATGGAGCCGCCGCTGCCGGGCTAGGCAGGTGCAGCCCCGCTGGGCCCGCGGCGATGTCCGGCTACCCGCGCCGCTCGGGCGCCACCCCGCTCTCCCGCGCCCGGAGCCTCGTCATTCCCGACGATGACAAATTTGAAGATCTTGAAGAGGCAAATCCGTTCTCCTTTGAAGAGTTTCTCAAGACCAAGAACCTCGGCCTGTCAAAAGAGGACCCGGCCAGCAGAATTTACGCAAAGGAAGCCTCGAGGCATTCACTGGGACTCATCGCAACTCCCCAACCTCCCAAACCCGGGCGTATGGCTTATCAGCAGCCGTTTTGATACTGATCAAAGTATCAAACAGGGGCCAGTTACCTCCTGGATGAGGAGGACACCGGATGGAGTGGGGCCTACCTGCCGTCCGCCATGGAGCAGACTCACCCCGAGAGGCTCCCTGCCGGCGCGTCGCCCTGCAGCACATACCTTTCCTTTCTCTCCACCGCAGAAGACCTGGCAGGGCCTGAGTCTCTGCCCCCTTGGGCATTGAGTGACACTGATTCCCGAGTGACTCCGGCCTCTCCAACAGGGAGTCCTAGCGCAGAGTTTGCGACTCATGGAGAGTCTCTGGGGGACAGGCACCTACGGACGCTGCAGATAAGTTACGAAGCAAAACGGGCTGTAAAGGCAGAAAACCACGTCATGAAACTGAAACAGGAAGTTCATTTGCTTCAGGCGCAGGTCTCCAACTTCCAGCAAGAGAACGAAGCCCCGCGGTGCGGCCAGGGCGCCAGCCTGACCGTGGTGAAGCAGAACGCCGACATAGCTTTGCAGAATCTCCGAGGGGTCATGAGCGGTGCACAGGCTTCCATCAAGCAACTGGTTTCCGGAGCCGAGACGCTGAATCTTGTTGAAATCCTTAAATCTATAGACAGAATTTCTGAGATTACAGATGAGGAGACCCTTGAGGACCCCTGGGTGTTTTCGGCTGTGTGTATGCCCCGAGATCACCACCGCTTGTCTAAATGTGCAGTTGTGCCCTTAAAGTGTTTATCGTGAGCGAGGTTCCAGTGTGGTGCCCTTGGCCAGTGCTGGCCACCGCAGCGGGAACAGCCCCTGGCTGAGTTGCCCAGGAGTTTCTGTGCGGCCCTTCTTGGTGAAATCCCTGCAAGTTTATAGATTCTAATGAGCTCTGGAAGACATTGTCATAAAAGCCAGTCATTTTAAGAAATTACTAAACACCGAAAGAGCAGTTCTGTCATCAGCGTTTTCCTTCTGATCCCAGAACAGCAGCTGTAAGATAACTACGATTGATTGTCCTTGATTTCCTAAGTAGAAAAAATATTCAATGAGCCTCAGAGGTGGCAGCCTGGGCAGGGACCTGTGCCTTTTGCTGGCACTCAGTGCTCCATCTGGCTTCCAGGTCACTCTTGGAGCCCCAGCGGGTGGTCTCTGCAGTCCTGGCCTGAGTGTGGAGGGGCCACCCTGTGGCTACTGGTGTCCTCCCCCCAGGACTCAGGGACCAAGACTAGGCATTCCATGCTGTGAAGCTGTCTAAATGGGCCTCATTGGCTGGGGGTTCTGATGAACATTTTCAAGCAGCATTTTGTACAATGCAGTTGAGAATTCGGGAATTTCAAGTATGAGCAGAGCCTGTCCAGGTTTGTGTGAGGTCCCAGCTGCCTTTCTGACTGCCTCCCACAGAGGGAAGGCCACAGGCACTAAATGCCTTTTTAACTATTTTCCTATAGATATTTTTTAAAACAAGTTTGTTTCCCCTCCTGTTCCAATTGATAGCTTTCTTATTTAAATAAATTCTGCAGTTCAAAAAAAAAAAAAGTTTAGAGATAAAGAGAACCATAAACTGAAAAATGAGGATGAAAATAAAATACACTTTTCTCATTTTTGGAATTCTTTTCTTTAAATAGTACATTATCTTTCAAGTTATCTTTTTAGATGATGTTATTTATAATGCATTTTATAATATATAAGTAGCACACATAAAAATAAATTATGCATAATGATCAAGGGAATAATTAACCAAGAGGAGATAACCACAAATGTTCTTCTATCTCATAATATTATCTCAAATTACATAAAGCAAACCTTGATGAAACCGGAATAACCAAATCCAAAATTGTAGCTGGACAGTAAAACTCTTTTCTCAATAATTTATGGAAGTAGATTACAAATAAATAAGGAGTACAGAAGACTTGAAGAATATTATCAACCAACACGATCTCCATTTATAGAACATTGATCCAAAAGGAAAACACATTATTTTCAAATACATATGGAACATTTAACCAAGATAAATAATACAATGGGCCCTGAAATGAGTTTAAATAAACTTTAAAAGGATTAAAAAATGTTGCTCTCCAAATAGGAATTAAATTAGAAATCAATAATAGTAAAACAATCTTCAAACAGCCAAAAATTTAAAATAAAAAAGCCATGTTCTATTAGAAATATGGAGTAGAGGTACTTTCTCCTAGCCTTTCTGGTAAGTATAGCTAAAAACTATGGATATCATATATTTAAAAACATACTGAAAGGTAGAGAGAAGACAGCAGATTGTTCAGGGACCTTCGGACTCAAGGAATGACAATGATGAGTTCCCTGCATCTTCTCTTTGGCCTCATATATTCCAAATTAGAAGCTGGAGAAGCTGGCAACAAGCAACATGAATGTGAAGGTGAAAAAACAAAACAAAACATAAAACCCAAAGCTTGTGCTCTCGAGCCAGAGGTTCAGGAGAGAAACAGCCTATGAAGATTGAAAACCTTTAGACAATAACTGTTCTAATTTCAGCCAAACACAAAATAAAAAACACGTCCTCCACCTCTACTGCTGCCATGAAAGGCCAAGTGGGGAACTCAAGTGTCTATGCTCACCAGGCTGTAAGAAGGCTCCCTTACTCCTCCACCAGGGTTCATGTCAGAGAGGGCTGACTGGGGCCTGAGACATGTCTCCAAGCCAGGCAGTGACAAGGTCCCCTGCCCCACAGTGTCAGTAGAAGCCCTGTGAGGAGCAGTAATGAGGCACCTTCTGATGCAGGGTGTTATCAGTGAAGGCCCAATGGGGATCCTGAACTGCCACTACCATTCAGCAGTAATGACAATCGCCTCCCCCTCCAGGTGCCAACAGAGGCTGAGTAGGAAACTTGTATTTTCAGCCCAACTGTTAATAATAAGACAGCAACCCACCCCTCCCTGCCACAGTGGTGTCAGAGAATGCCTGCTACATGAAAAGATTTCAGTAAGACACAGATATTATAACTTCCAAAATGTATAGGTTCAATCTAAAATTACTTGTCATACCAAGATCTAAGACAACTTCTACTTGATTGAGTGAAGACAATCAATAGATGCCAACACTGAGATAGCACAGAAGTAGCTGACAAAGACTTTACATAAGCCATCATATAAAAGTTTAAACAAACAATAAGAAACATGAAACAAAAAAACAGAAAGTCTCAGCAAAGAGAGAGAAGATATATGAAGTAGGTATTTTAGAGTTGAAAAATAACTAAATACTCAGTGGGTGGGTTCAACAGCAGAATGAAGAAGACAGAAGAAAGAATCCATGAATTTTAATATAGAAGAGTAGAAACTACCTAATCTGAACAAAGACAACAGACTAAAGCCACAGAGACCTGTGAGACTATAACACATATCTAATAATTGTGTCATAGAAGTTTCAGAAGGAGAGGAGAAGAGGGAGTGCCTGAAAAGTACCAGAATAAATGATAGCTTACCATGTTAGTGACTGCCATGAGTTAAGGGATAGTAAAAGGAGTCGGGGTGACGTGACTTTATATAAAGGGGCAGGACAAAGCTCTTTGTGGTGACTGAATAGTTCTGTTTATTTGACTATAGCTGTGGTTACATCAATCTGTACATATGATAAATGACACAGAACTATACACCTGTTGGCCAGTGTGAGCTTCCTGGTGCTGACATTGTACTACAGTTGCATAAGATGTATGTCTTGGAACGCTGAAGCATTTAGAAAATTGCTGTCTTCTTAGAAGACTGACATGTAACATCACTCTGTTACCAGTAATTTTCTGTGCTCTGAAGTCTACTTTTTCTGATATTAACATAGCCAATCCTACTTTTTTATGGTAATGTTCCATGGCATACCTTCTTCTATTCTTTTACTTTCAATCTACCTATAATTTTTAAAGTAAATTTCTTGTAGATGGCATATATTTAGGTGAATTTTAAAAATCAACTCTTTCAATCTATATTATTATTATATTATACTTTAAGTTCTGGAGTCCATGTGCATTCTGGAGTCCATAATGAATATGCATATTCATTACATAGGTATACACGTGCCATGGTGGTTTGCTACATCCATCCCCCGTCATCTACATTAGTTATTTCTCCTAATGTTAGCCCTCCCCAGTCACCCCACCCCCTCCTATCCCTCTCCTAGACTCCCCATCCCACAACAGGCTGTGGTGTGTGATGTTCCCCTCCCTGTGTCCATGTGTTCTCATTGTTCAACACCCATCTATGAGTGAGAACATGTGGCATTTGATTTTCTGTTCTTGTGTCAGTTTGCTGAGAATGGTGGTTTCCAGCTTCACCCATGTCCCTGCAAAGGACATGAACTCATCCTTTTTTATGGCCGCATAGTATTCCATGGTGTATAAGTGCCACACTTTCTTCATCCAGTCTATCTCTGATGGGCATTTGGGTTGGTTCCAAGTTTTTGCTATTGTGAACAGTGCCGCAATAAACATGAACAGTGCCGCATGTGTCTTTATAGTTGAATGTTTTATAATCCTTTGTGTATATACCCAGTAATGGGATTGCTGGGTCAAATGGTATTTCTAGTTCTAGATCCTTGAGGAATTGCCACGCTGTCTTCCACAATGGTTGTACTAATTTAAACTCCCACCAACCGTGTAAAAGTGTTCCTATTTCTCCACATCCTCTCCAGCATCTGTTGTCTTCTGATTTTTTAATGATCACCATTCTAACTGGTGTGAGATGATATCTCAATGTGGTTTTGATTTGCATATCTCTAATGACCAGTGATGATGAGTTTTTCTTCATATGTTTGTTGGCTGCATAAATGTCTTCCTTTGAAAAATGTCTGTTCATATCCTTCACCCACTTTTTGATGGTGTTGTTTCTTTTCTTGTAAATTTGTTTCAGTTCTTTGTAGATTCAATAATATATATTCACTTGGTCCACTTCCACATCTTGTACCATATTCCTTCTTGCTTTCTTTGTTCCAGGTGTGCTGGTTCTTTTTTAGGACTCTGTACTCACTATCTTCTCTTCTATCTGGGGTCTCTGTGCTTGTACTTTTCTATGCTTAGAATGTTTACATTTCCTTATTTAGCTTACACTTAGACTTCCTTAGAGCTTTTCTCAAGCACCACTTATCACTTTCTTTGAATTTGAAACTTTTCTTTTAAAAAGCAAATTCAGTAAACCCCTCCCCTCATATATCCTTCACCCAGCTTTAAAAACTATCACATTTTTTTAATACAAATGCTTTCTTGACTTCAGAAACTCTTCAAATTACCCTATGAAAATTGAGGCTGTGCTATTAAATAACTTGAGAACTGCATTGGTGTTTATCAAATAGTGGATATTAACTAGTTGTTAAGTTTTAATTGCATTTCTTCACAGTCTCATACTGTATGAATGAGTGTTCAAAGAGGAAGAAATATTAGAAGACATAAATAAAAGACATGTCTTAGTAACCTGATATGCAATTTGTATGATACAGTTAAAGCAGTGCTGAGTTTTTAATGGCACTAAGTGTGTACATTAGAAAAGAGAAAAAGTCTCAAATTAATAGTCCATGATCTCACTATAAAAGACTAGACAAAGAAGAGCACAATAATATAGCAAAAGAAAAAGTAGAAAGTGGAAATTAATTAAATTAAAAAAAAACAAAGGAGAAAAATCAATGAGAGAAAAATCTGGTTGACTGAAAAGAGCAGTAACATTGTAAAACTTCTAGGAAGAGTGAACAAAAAAATAAAAGAGCAAGAAGACAGAAATGACCAATATAAAGAAGAAAACAGGTCTATAAATACAGATCCTCAAGACATCAAAATGATAATAATGGAATGGTCTGAATACCTTTACACATATAAACCTGACAACTTAAAGTGGACTAATTGTCAGAAAAACAAAAATACCGCAATTCACCCAATAGAAATAATTTGAGTATCCATATATATGACTTAAAGGAATTGATTTGTAAAACTTCCGAAAAAGATGTCTCTAAGCCCAGATGGTTTCATCAGATAACTCTACCAAACATTTAATGAAGAATAAACACCACTTCTATACAACCTCTTACAGAAGATCTGAAGGAACACTTTTCAGCTAATTTTATGAGGCCAGATTTATCCTGATAGGAAAACTAGATAAAGGTAGTACAAAACTACCGACTGAAGTGCAAAACTACTTAACAAAGTATTAGCAAATAGAATCAAATAAATAAAAAGAATTCTATGACATCACCAAGTAAGGTTTATTCCAAGTATGCAAGGCTGTTGCAACATTTAAAAACTAGTCCACATTAATGTAGTAATGAAGAAAAACCATGTAATCACAGTAGATACATAAAAAGTAATTGACCCGCCAGTCTGGCTCGGCTTGGCTCTGCGCGCCGTGGCAAGCTCGGCTTCCCTGGAGACCATCGTGCCCCCGGCCTGCCCGCGCACCGGAGCATCGCCGGCTACTTCCAAGACACTGGCCTTCTCCATCTAGCGCATCATGGCCAAGACGTTGGAGCCCCGCAGGCCCTTTGAGC